CGGGTAGTAGGGGACAATTAGGGATGTGGGGTCAGTGTTGGGGGGTGCTCTTTGAATTGTAGTAGATTACTGTGGGGTATTTGAGTAGCTACAGTATAAACAGGAAAACCTCATTGACTGCACACCCTGGCTGCCATACCCAGGTTTTCAGAAATCTAAAAAATGTTTGGATGATTCACAGTTCAGAAACATTTGAGAACATTCAGAACATTTTTACTGTGGTGGATGCACCACATATAGTCAGTGTCACATCCTCTTTGACATGAAGACCCTGTGACCACTGACCATGGACAGACTGCTTCATCTTCACTGAGCGCTTCTGAAGTCAGTTTATAGAAATAATTCTCTAAGGAACTTTTCAAGCTTTGTTTTTTAATCTGAGATTTACAATCAATTTACTTTATTTGTTATTCCATCTGTTTCCCCACTGCTGGCTGTCCTCTTCAATTTAATCTTTTTTTAGGAATCGCCACCAGCAAAAGAATAACTTTTATGAATGACCAAAGTAATCACAGTCTCAGACTGGTCCAAACACTGGACTACAATAACCATTACAACATTTACATTCTTTTCTAGTGAATTTTTATTTGCAGTTTCATTTTCTTGTATTGTTGCAGATGTAGAGGTGTTAAATTATATGTGAGTTCTTGAATGCACTACAACATGTAAGGGTAGCAAACAAATACCACAAAAGACATTATGAAAGCCTAAGGAATTGAAATATGATCTATTTGTTAGTTCATACCAATGTCACATTTTCACATAATCAGTTATGATTTACTGTGTGTTTCAAGCATAGAGAGAGAATGTTAGTTTCCTACATGGTTCTTACTAAAATAGGCAAGGATACCTTAGGATGATATCTTTTATTGGACAATCTAGGTAGTTGGGGTAGAGTTAGACAAGGTTTTGAATGCAAAACATTTTGTCAGATGTCTTGCATTTGAAAGCTTGTCTAATTCTAGTTGTTCCAATAAAAGATATCACCCTAAGAAATCCTTCTCTATTGCATAATTTCTGGACTGTCATATCTACATCACTCTTATTAAAATAGCACTTCGTAAATGGCTCTTTTGGAGTCTTTACAAGGTTGCAATATTGAAGGCTGCTTGAAAAATCTTAGTAAATGATTCTCATCCTGTTACCTTTGTCAAACAGCTGCAATATGTTTCAGTGGTAAAGTTTTTACTCTCTGTAGCTGTGCTGATTCCTGCTTATAATTAAGGTTTTGTCTTAGACATATTGACACAAAAGTCAGATAAAATGTGAGCACTTTTCGCTCATAAGCACTTTTTCACTCACTTTCTTTGTGATGGTCAAATAGCAGGCTGTTTGTCAATGGATTAGATCAAGAATGAATCCTTTCTGGGAGGAGAGTACTGATGTCCAGTAGTCAAAAAGCAGCCTCAGGTCAAGGAACCATATGAAGGGAAAAGAGCTCATAAAAGTGAGATCCTCAAAGTTCAGCATACTCCATTTGAGAGTGAAATACTCTTGTCTGTCTGAGGTTGTAGGAGGTCAGTCAAACTGTTTAAAAAATAACTAGGCCTATCACTTATAATGGCTTACAGTAGAGTTCAGGCTGCTCTGGGTTATTCCTGATTTCATCAATGTATCTCAATAGGTACTGAATCTAGACTACTCATGCAAAAAAGCCAAAAAACCCCCACACATTTAATTTACTAAAATTGCTTATAAACATAATAATACTTTGTAGTTCAATAGCATTTTCTCTAAGCCCCTTGTAAACTTCAGATGGCTTCATCAGTGTTTAGCAAACCAATTATCTTATAGTTGGGCATAGATTTACTTTTTGGCCTAGATTATAAAATACTCTGCTACCAAATTTCTAAATTAATGTAGAATGTATTTTTGTACTAATATATACATTGCCATTCAAAGCATGGGTGCTGGGCATTGTAGCAAACCATACATTAAACAAATAGATAATACAGATATATTGGCATAATTTTAAAAGGACTTTTTTCTGACTATATTTATCCAATAAATGTGTATGTATGTGTGCATTTTAACATTTTCTAACCAAAAGGGAGCCAATTATAAAACCTACTTATAGTCATTCTGTATTTTTTAGATAACTACTTAGTAGTAGTAGTAGTAGTAGTAGTAATATATCTATGGCACCTTTCAGAGATTATTAATTCAAGTGCAATACAAACCTATTTTTAATGACACTCTCATGTATGTTCACTTGAACTGAGGCCAAGCAAACAATCTGTTTTTTTCCAAGATACTCTTTAGTTTCATTGTGGAAGAAGGGAAAGTGACTATACTGTAACATTTGCTCCTCTCTCGTTGTAAGATATTGCATATCATCATCAGTATCTCTGCTATTTTGTATATTTTCCTTCCGTAGTCCTAAATGAGTACTGTGAAAAACAGCCAGCATATCCAATATCTCTAATCTTACTGAAGGTGTTTACAACTTTTATGCTAGTATTCACTCTTAAGTTTTAACACAGATGGGATTTTTGTCCTAGTTCACAATGATAAGACTTTCATTTCTATGTTAATTTTAAGCAGACAACCCCCCCCACTTAAGTTGTTTCAAAAGATATGAATAATTTCTAAAAAATTCTTCAACCACCAGAACAAAACAAAACAGAACAAAACAAAACAGAAAAGCACCTATAACTAATACCTTAAAAAAATCCTGGACCATCCATCCTAATGTACCACTTATTGTGCCATATCTCAAATGCTAGCCAATAGAAAGACGCACAGATGAGGTCAGTAAAACAACCATAGTGGTGCCCTCCAACAACCTAGATGCTGAAAGATCCACAAATCAAACCAGTACTTTTTATAATACCTTCCATAAAAACCCTAACACCTTGAATTTAGTCAGTCTGCATGATGGATGTTTGTTGTAATTTTCAGGCTACCTAGAAGACTTGTTTTCAAGTTAAAATAGAAAACAGACAACATTATTAGTTTCTGTAAGGTTGGTGTGTTTGTTCCTTTTGGCTAGGGACAGAAGGTATAGATAAACTGGTTTAAGTGATCAGAAACTGGTTTAAACCTGTAACAGAACAGAAGTTCAGTGCACATAAACCAGTTTCAAAATGGCTGAAACTGATTTAATATAAATCTTGTTGAATGTAGTATCAGGCTTAACTGATTTGGATCAAGTCAGTTTATGAAACTTCTGCCCCAGACCCCTTCCTGGTTTAAGTTAAATCGCAGGCCCCCAGTAACTTAATCATACTTTCAAGTAGGCAATAATACTTCATGATACTTAAATAATAGGGAGTTAGAGGCTGCTCACAAATTTTTCTAGTTAAAATCTATTGAATCACTAAGGATTTGTACTTGTGTAACTGAGCTCAGCATCTAAGCCAAGAAACTTTAATCCCAAATTAGTATGTATTTTTGACACTTTCACACTAAAGCCATGGGGACCTCTAACTGGGCTTTGGATTTGGCCTGGTGACATATTCTTACAAAGGCATGTTGCAAGGAATTCCTAACAGACATGTGAACCTAAAGGATATCTCTTAAATATCCTAAGAGAAATTATGTTACTGTTTTTACTGCAAGCTTCTTTACTGCACCAATCCCCATTTAATACGTTAGCTTCCTGAATTTTATACCAATTTCCAAGTTAAGTTCTATACACTTTATATTTAACCTTTTATTTCTGCTTTCCTTTTGCTTCATACATTAACAATAAATATTGCTTTTGGTTAGTTGAACTAGAGTTTGATTATTATATCTAGTGAAAGTTCTTGCTTCATCTCCCAGCCAAAATAAAATTTCATGCTGTTCATGGTGTAGGGAGAGGTGAGGCTGATCATATGAGGAGAGGAAAAAGTTTGTGGTCTTCCTTCACTGTAGTGCCAGAGAAAGCCTGGTGTGGTAGGAAGGTGGGGCAAGCTCTGGAGTGATTGTCTGTCTGGGCTCACTTCTTGACTGCCATAGGTTTCTTGAGTGACCTCATAAGATGCTTGCTTCTTTCTACCCCTTGTCTCTTTCTGATTTAAGCTGAAAACTCTTCATGAATGCTATAACAACATACATTAGAAGAAGAACGCGTCAGTCCAGATTCATCCAAAGAGCACATTACTCCATTTTAATTACTGCCCAGTACTGATGATCTCTTATTTCTTCAAGTTGAGGAAATAGGAAATATGTAGAGAAAAGTCATACATGTGAATATTTTAAAACCTACAATTGGAAATACAAGCCACAGCTATGTATAGCAAGAAATAAAGCCAAATGGCCATTGGGCTACCATAGTTAAGCCATGCCTGCCAGTTTCTATAGCCGACTACACAAGAGTGTAATGCGGTAAGCATTATATCCAGTCAACATTTCCTCCATAGCATGAATGACCATGTAGCCATTTACAGCTAAGACATATGCAACTTCTAGCACATAACAAGGCACGAACTTGTGGCACTGGAGCCCGAGTAAGAGGTCTTAACTACTCTCCCACCATGCCCCAGCATAATTGGCACTGAAGCATCAAACTTCAGATCATACAATTGATTCCTGTTACTTGATGGTGTATCTGCATAGCATAGCTCTCATTTTCTCTACTTTTGATGACAGCTAGAAATAATAAAATAACCTCAGAGAAAAATAGTAGTTTAAGTTATTTTACATATTTTTCCCAGAAGCATGCACAAATCTTGAAAATTACAAATGACAAAAAAGGAAGGTAGAAATGGCTTGTTATGGAAGACAGAAGAACTTATAGAAGCAAAGGTCAGATATTTATGATTTTGTTGTTATTTTTACAGCCTAACATGTTACAGAATTGTAGCCCTGTGTTAAAGATCATTTTATTATCCCTTGCTGATAAAACCTAATCTTTGATTGCTCCAAACCTGGCGAACCCTGAAGCATTTCTACAACTATACCATTAGCCTTTGCACAGATGTCTGATACTAAAGAACGGCTGCCTACAGATCAAGTTGCTGAGACCAACTCTCGCGAGCTTTGTGTCAGAAGCAGTTGATTATAATGTCAGTACTGTCCAATTTGCAGGCTTAAAGCGGCAGCTGCATACTGCATCTCACTGAAGTATTCATAGATCTTGACTCTTAAAAACTTTATACTTGTTGTAATAGAAACTGGGGTAAGTGCTTCTGTTTACATGTCTCTGTCTGACAGTATAAGTTGCCATTTAGCTTGATGTATATAAGGTCTGTGATCTTTTAAAATGTTATATTCTGTCCATTTGTTGCACTGTTGGGTATACGTACTCTGTAAATGGAACTGATGGAACAAGTAAGCAGGCATATGTATGAGACCCTGACATTATTTAAGGAAACCCAGGCTAAAGTAAATTAAACCAAGCTGGAAATCATTTATTAATTCAGCTATCTTTTCTATTTAAATAAAGATTACATAGTGTTGTGTATAGATTTCTTGTTTGGGTAAAGATTTGCTGAAAGAGGAAACAATAGAAATAAATCACATTTCCTTACCGAAATAGAATACAAAAGTTAGCTTTTACTTAACTTTTATTGGATAAACCTAATAAAGAAGCAACTTTTCCAAGTGCACAAATATGTTAAGCTATATATCTCTATTTGGTAAGGGTTGACAGGCTAAAGCAATCTTCTGACCTTTTTTACTCTTGTAGTTATAATCCAGTCATGTTGGTTTAGCTTAATATGTTTTATATCTCTGTTTGTTTTAATGCAGAATTAAAACCCCTGTGAAATAGTCTTTTACTACACATACCAAATGTAGTAATACTTTTCTGTCAATTGCTAGTTTTCTTGCTGTTAGCTGGATAAGTAACTTGAAACTAGTTTTGTGCTTACATTTTGGAGTGTAAAAGTTTTGCATGTGCGTGTCCCCAAATTTGACTGACTGACTTCTGATTTCTTATGGAGTTGATGAAAAAATTATTTTAGAGCTACATAAAAGGTGCAATGTTGATTTTTCCTTATATTATGTGCTCCATATTTACATTACTAGTTACAGTATTTTAGAAATATGGGTCAGAAGTTCAGGGTTTCTAATTTGTATTTGCTGCTTCTCCTTGTGGCTCCATTAGTAGATATTGTAACTAACATGAGAACGTTAAATAATGTAACTCTTAAAGTCTATTTTAAACCCCATACTCCTGATGTTAATAATATTAGCATCTCATTTTTATAACATTCTCAGTTTTCTTTTCCTTACATTGACAGTATTTGCAATCATTATTCTAATCTTTTTTTTTTTTTTCAGTCCTCCTAGGTTGCACTTAGAAATTCTGTGTTCAATATTTGCTTTCAGTGGCAATTTCAGACTAGTATTTAAAATTGCCACTCTTACCCTGAACTACTGTATATTAGATGATTACTGACTTTATATGCTGTTAGTTTCTTAGCCCAATAATGATGCCATCTCCTGATCGATTCACATGAGTTTATTTCAAAGCAATAGAACCAGAGTTTGACCCTTGCTTAATCTTTCATTCTTTTGTAGAATTTTTTTATAGGGAGCACTTTGGAGTGCTTTTCAAAGCTGGGTAGTGATCATTATACCCATTTAGTGGGCGAGAAACTGATGTACAAGGAGATCAAATTATTTACTTACAGGGAAAAAAAATCAGTAATCGCCAAAACTAGAATCCAGGTTTGCAACAGGGAGCTTGGCTTAGGTAATGACTGCAGCTTGGAGCACTAGGGCTCAGATTTTGCCAACACTTATGCATAGGCTGCACTTGCACATGTGAATAGTTCCTATCAGTCAGGGTTGCTCACCTCTGTAAAGCTTTGTACATGTATGTACGTATGTATGTATGCATGTTTGATTCTGATCAAGTAAAACTTCCAGCTCAGCTAATATTGAGTAAAAGCTCATTAACACTTAAATTCACCCTTAGAAGTTTACCATAAGAGGTGGTATTAATTTAAATATTTTTCCTTATAAGTTTATCAGTATACTATAGATTTGTACTTGTTCAGGCTTTTGACAGTTACAATGAAGTCTTTTGATAATTTCTCTCTCTCTCTTTGTGTCCCATCAATGCTATCTCATGGACAGGAACTACTTGAAGCAATTTTTTTTCAGTTTTTTTCTATATTAATTTATTTCTATATTCCTCCAGCTTTCCAACAATAAACAACAAGCAGAGTGATCTTAGATTAGGCACGTATCTGTACTTTCCACAGGAATGAGCCTTGCTCCTTTTAAGAAGAGAAGTACTGCTCCTTAACAATGAATAGACTGTTTTAAAGTGGCAGTACTGAGTATACTAATTCCAACAGAACAGTAATAAAAAAGGAACCTTTGTTGAATATCTCCACAGAAACAGACTGTCCTTTTTCTGATATGCTGCTGTCAAGAAGAAAAACTGTTATAAGAAAAGTTTAGTACTTTCTACTATAAGGACAAGCATCACTGACACTGTTCATATGCTTAAACTTAAGCACATTCTTAAGTGTTCAATTCTTAAAACAATCATTGTTTTTTATTTAGTCTAGAGGTCCTAGACTGGTTCCAGTCAAGGATTTGGCCCTATTATGGTTGCCACTGCAAGGCCAGGCACTGCAGAGACTAAACCAAATAAATGTACATTCCAAGGGATAACTAAAACACCCGTTCTTATAGGCAATGGTAGCTATAGATTCAATTATTCATAATTTCATGGACACAAGATCTTGCAAGGAATTTTTTATTTAGGTATAATGAGTGTTAAAAACATGTCAGTGGATACACAGTATGTGCCTGTAGTTATGAGAAGCACCTCCAATAGCAAAGAAGTGTGACTAGAAAAGTGTGACTGTTCAATGCGTTGTTGAGTTTACAGCCATAATGTTTTATCCTATAACTATTGTATTTCAAACCCATTTGGATACCCCTTCAAGACCATAATCAAATATAGACACTGGGTCAATATCTACAATAGAGTATAGACAGGTCATTTAGAGAGGTCCCTACAGGAAAAAAAGAACATATTCCTGAAAATTAGTCACCTCCAAAATTAGGGTAAAATCTAGTTTAAATGACAGGGATGCCAGTTAAGGTTGAGTACACAGTGAAACAAATGTTTTGAAATATCCTTTTACTTGTGGAAAAAACTGAGTGTGAGTTGAATTCAGGCAATAGATTTAGCAGTAAAAGTGTCTTGATATCTTTATAACTTGGTTTTTGGGGGGTTTGGGGTTGTTTTTTTTTAACTGTTTGTAAGATACATTGTTAATAGTTCCCTCTATTTACTTTATTATATGAATAACCAAAGTAACCATCGACTAAAAACATTGTAATCAGCCATTGTGTCTTGCGTAACACTTTTGTTATGTAATAATCCCAGGGATGAATGGTTAATGGTACCTGTCAACTAAAACAAATAGGAAAACTCCTGACAACCAAATATTATGTGGTAATACAGATGAAATATGTTTTGTCCAAGAATTATTTGTGTGGGGGAAAGGAACAGACATGTTTCTTTGGCTCAGGAATACAAGTGTAAACTCTGAAGGAACATGATGGTAACTAGTAACTGTAGTGATTAGTCCAAGTCTCATGCTGCATGGGGTATATGGATAATCCTTTACATAGTTAGAGTCTCACTGCACACACTGCTTCATCAGACCAATCCCATCTAACCCTCAGTAACCCTCATGTTGTTCTGTACAAGCCTGTTTTAGAGCATTTCCAGTAAAACACTGAGGCAATTGTAATGCTAATTACAATAGAGGCCCAACTGTAATTAGCAATGACCATACAGGAGAGACCAGGATTATCATCCAAGTGCACTCTTTACACTATTAAAATGATTGATTGTTAGAAATTGGTAGCAGTAAATGGGGCAAGAATTTTTGCTGCTGATTCAGGTTGAGCAGCAAGCATGGCCAATGACAACTATTTCTAAAGCCTGTTCAAAGGCCAGGATGCTCTCTGCAGCAGAAGCACACCAATTACATTCCCGTTGAAACCTTGTTGCATTCTTCTTGCTTGCAGCAAGATTGGAATATAAGTAGGCATGCTTCTACATGTTTATCTCTTCTCTATTACAGGAATTATGATGTGGAACAATGGAAGAGGTGTCTACTCCAGATACGTAGTCTGTTTTTTTCTTTTGCATATGTTCGTCACAAAGGCAGAGCCTGAAGATGACATTATAGTTACTACTAAGAAAGGAAAAATAAGAGGGATCAACTTGCCTGTACTTGGGGGAACTGTGACAGCCTTTCTTGGAATTCCATATGGAGAGCCACCAATTGGTAGACTGAGATTCAAAAAACCTGAACCCCGTGAGAAATGGTCAGAGACTTGGGATGCCACAAAACATGCAAATTCTTGTTATCAGAATATAGACAAAACGTTCCCTGGGTTCCCTGGATCAGAAATGTGGAATCCAAGAACTAATCTTAGTGAAGACTGCTTATACCTCAATGTATGGGTTCCTTCTCCCAGACCCAAAAATGCAACTGTCATGGTATGGATCTATGGAGGTGGCTTTCAGTCAGGGACATCTTCTTTGCCTGTCTATGATGGCAAGTTTCTGGCCCGGGTTGAACGAGTCATCATAGTTTCAATGAACTACAGAGTAGGTGCATTAGGATTTTTGGCTTTACCAGGAAATGAGGAAGCTCCAGGAAATGCGGGATTATTTGATCAAAGGTTAGCACTTCAGTGGGTTCAAGAGAATATAGCAGCATTTGGTGGCAATCCAAAAAGTGTGACTTTATTTGGAGAGAGTGCTGGAGCTGCTTGTGTCAACTACCATCTCCTTTCCCCTAAAAGCCATCCCCTCTTCACAAGAGCCATCATGCAGAGCGGCTCTGCTAATGCCCCATGGAGTGCAATAACATGTTCTGAGGCGAGGAACAGAACTTTGACCTTCGCTGAACTTCTCCACTGTTCTGCCAACAATGAGACAGATATAATTCTCTGTCTCCAAAACAAGGATCCTGAGGATATACTTGAGGGTGAAGTTTTCATTTCAACACCTAATTCTATTGTAAAAGTATCTTTCTGTCCAACAGTTGATGGTGATTTTCTCACTGATATGCCAGAAACATTGATGCAACGTGGCGTTCTTAAACAAACACAGATCTTATTGGGAGTTAACAAAGATGAAGGATCAGCTTTTCTAGTGTATGGGGCACCTGGTTTCAGCAAAGATAATGATAGCTTGATTAATAGGACAGAATTTCGAGCAGGTTTAAGGCTGTTCTTTCCAGAAGCAAGTGAACTTGCCATAGAATCAATCATTTTCCACTACACAGACCTGGAAGATGAGCAGAAGCCTGAACATTATCGTGATGCCATGGATGATGTTGTTGGAGATTACAGTTTCATATGTCCTGTAGTAGAGTTCACAAAAAAGTTTGTTCAATTAGGAAATAATGCCTTCTTATACTTCTTTGAACATCAGTCTTCAAAACTTGCCTGGCCAAAGTGGATGGGAGCAATGCATGGTTATGAGATTGAGTTCGTATTTGGGTTGCCTCTAGAAAGAAGAGTTAATTATACCAAAGCTGAAGAAATGTTGAGTAGATCCATACTGAGATACTGGACAAGCTTTGCAAAAACGGGGTAAGTTTATGTTTGGCTAGTTCCTTTTATTCCATATGCCTAAACTAAAAAGGATGATCCTGTTGGTCATGACTTGGATCCTAGTGAAGGCTATGATTAATTGTCCAGTTAGTCAGAACTTCTGTTATCTCATTACTGATTAAAAACGGTGTCTCAGTAAAATAAATTATTGAAATGTAGCTGACTGTACAGACTGAGCTTAAGAAAACACTGTGTACCCTTCAAAGTTGTTAGTCATCTGCCACCTATCCAGGCATACACAACACATTTTTGCTGTGGTAGCAGATGTAAGTGAAGGCAACAGTTTCAAATATAAAAAAATAATATCTGCAATTCTGGAACAGACTTCCATTAGGAATGGGAACAAAAAAATCCAAACCATTTTAAAATGGAGGTTGATTAGTTCATGAAAGGGCTTATATGATGTGCTTGCCTGCAGTAGCACGGATATACACTCAATGACTTAGGAGGTCCTTTCCAGTCCTGTTTTTTCTATATTCACTTCTCTTGTATAAGTGCAATCTGGTGATCATTGAAGTTGATGGCTGTTGAACACACTGGGACTCCCCCTCAGAGTGAAATTTACCTTGGCTGATACAAAACTCAAATATGTTAACTTAATATGGGGCACTAAATGGGACTTGAGCATTTGAAATCCAACCTTTTCTACTCAAGCTCATAGGAATCTGAAGTAGAAGAGAGAGCCCTTTTATTATGTAGGGATTCTCTGTTGCTGTATCAATGTAAGACTTGTATTGAAACCGATAAATATCCTTCAAATTTGGGGATGCTTTACACTGTAATACATATGCTACATGGCTATTACCAGGTCCATACAGAGTTAGGTTTAATATTACAATTCTAGTGAAATATTGAGAATGAAGCCCTGCCTTCTGGTTATTCCACTCATTTACTTTACTTCAGGGAGAAAAAAAATCCATGTTGCAAATAAAAGTACCCAAGATAATGTTCAGTTAAACATTTAACGTATAACCCATTTGGAAGTATTTTATTTATGTTTTTGAATGCTTAAGTTAAATTTGAATTCTCAGATGAACATTTCTTTCAATTAAAAAAAATCCTGATACAAAATGTATTAGGTCAATAAAAGCTTCCCACTGACTTCCATCAACTTTGTATGAACCCCCACCTGTTCTTCACAGTGGTGTACCAATGGGGTGGGGCAGAGGGAACTATGCCCTTGCATGCTGGCCAAGGAGGGGGGCACCAGTTGGGCCTGCCAGGGGGTACTTTGCTCCTGGTGGCACTTCCAGTTCTGCCACCGGGACTTGTTTCCACCACTGGCACTGGGATATCTGCCCCCCCCCCCCCCCCTGTGGGGGGGGGGGGGGCACACAATTCCACGCCTGGGCCTGGGGTTTCTGCCCCCCCCCCCCCTCCTGTGGTGGGGAGGGGCTCAAATGCAAATATTGGCCCCCAAGTGCTAGAGACCCACAGTATGCCACTGGTTCTTCATTCATGCATTAATAGGTCCATAGATTGAAATTTGAGAAGCAATCCATAAGGATCATTTACTGTTGTCTCCTGTGCAATACAGGCCATAGGGCATTCCCTGAATGTATTTTCTAAATAGAATACATCTTTTAGAAAAACTCCTAAAACTGATTTTAAACAGGGGTCCTCAACTTACAGCCCAGAGGCCAGCCCCAGCCCACAAAGAAGTCTGCTCCAGAGAGCAGAGGTCTGAGTCCACTCTGCTGCCCCTCCACTCCATAGCATTTCCTTCTGCTGTGAAGCCTGCTCCTTACCCTTGCTTCACAGGGGCAGGGAATCTGGCAGACAGCCACTCAGTGTGGGGAAGGGATGGATACTTCCAGCCTATGATGACAGCTGGGTTGTAAGCTCCTGCCCACACCAGGAAAAGGCTGTTGATCCTGATTTAAAATATTCTATTGACTATCTCCATTGAAGGATAATCTACCACAACCCTTGGTACGTTATTCCACATGTTAATTGTCTTTACTATAAAAAGTGTTCAGCTACTTGGAAGCTGAATTTGTCTAGTTTCAGATTCAGCCATTGAGCCTTTTGATACCTTTGTCTCATCGACTGAGGAGCCCATTATAAAAATTGTGTTCCTTGTGTAAGTGCTTACAGACTGTGCTCAAATAAACCTTTAACCTTTTCTTTGTTGAAGATTCAAGGAGCTCAATCAATGAAGTTTCACTATAAGGCATGCTTTCTAGTCCTTTAAATATTGTTGTATTCACTGTCTCCAATTTATCAGTGCCCTTTTTTTGTCATGGACAGCAAAAATAGACCCAGCAAAAAGGCACATCTGTATTATATGCAGGAGTCCAATATATCTCCCTACTCCTACGCAATATTACCCTTTTTATATATCCAAATATCAAATTATCTTTTGACTTTTTTGAGCTAAAATCCAGCTGATTACTTGCCAGAATTTCCAAAGTTTTTCAGAGTCACTCTCCCAAAATAACCCCCCATTCTGAAAGTATGGCCTTCCTTCTTTGTTCCTCGATATATGAATTTACAGGTGGTCATTTTATGAAGCATATAGCTAGCTCATGACCATTTTACCAATTACTCAGATTGCTCTATTTCAATAACCTGTTCTCTTTTCTTTTCACAACTTGCCCACTCTATCATCTATAATCGGTTGAGCCTTAGATTTTGCTCATATTGCTTAATTAGAGATCTATTTCTATTCAGGAAGTTTACCCCATCTTTCTCTCCACATATTATTCTTTTAACTGGATAATTTCTTCAATGAGTATTTAAAAGGACAGTAGTAATTGATTTGGAAAAATACATTTAATAGTCCTACTTTTTACTTTATGTTTTCTTATGTCCTGAGGTGAACTAACAATTTATTCTTAAATCTATCATTCCATTAACAAATGTTTGTGTCAAAGGTATAATTTAGCTTGATGAATGGAAAAATTAATATATGTAAGAACTCTATAGTTTCAGACTATATAGAGTCTGTAATGTATTTTAGTTTTTTTGCATCTAGTTAAGGGCTATTTTAAGAATTAATGTTACATACAATGTGTTGAAAAATGTGGTCTTCAAATGCTATTCTAGTATTTTAGTCCTTTTTATATTATTGAAACATTAATATAAGGGCTCCATGTATAAAAACTATCCTTTTCTTTTTATTAGCAGTTTAATGGCAGTGCTCTATATGTATTTTAGGAAATTGGAGCACTTGCAATGAGACATTTTTAGCAATAGGATGTATTGCAGAAACAGGAATACATTTGATCATTGTATTTGGAGCATTTAGTCATGTTATTTTTTATTCCCATGCATTTTGGACAATTGACTCCTGAAATAAAGCCTATGTAGTGAAAGCAGCTAAAACTTAGAACCATTCATGCAGAAAGGGCAGATCCAATCGGTGGAGATGCGGCCCTTAGACATTAAGAAAGATTGAGCTGGAAATCTTTGAGATTCTGCAGTCTTTATAAACCTTCCCATGAGCATGTATTTTTCACCATGATCATAACATTGTTGATCTTTCCTATTTAAATAAATACATTTTTTTGGCTAGAAATAAGCTCTTTTTGGAATCAGGTTTTTCAGTACAATATTTCATTCTATTCTTTTTTAATGGATATGGTCTTAACCATGAACTACAATCTATATTCTATTGTTTTCCAGTACCTGATTAAATATGAAATTACAGTGATAAGGGCATAGTACAAGTTAAAATTAAATAACATAAGGTGTATGCAAGTTTAAGTTTATGAAAGACTGCCAGTTTGTTGTGTGGTCATCTAGTCTGATTATCATTTTGGACTATAATTAGATTAGCTGACAGGTAGAATTTCAAGTGGTTTCCACAGCAAACAGCAAATACTCACTATCTGCTTCTGCCACAAATATTGAAAACATGACTATTTATGGTAGATAATACATCCACATGATCCTAAATATCAACAAAATGATCAGATCAGTGTGTACTTTACAAAATTAACAGATTAAAAGCCACTCTCTTCATAAACAAGAGCATAAATCTACTCACTGGACATATATCCAGGAGTATATTCTCCATAGTTTATATATAGTAGAGAAAAAATACACATTGATTGTCAAAATAAGAATTAACTACCCTCTTTCTGTCATGTCTGAATATACAGTAGAGATTTATAAAGACTTATAAGAGCTTTTATAGTAAATCCAAGGGCAATCAAAAGGTTAGTATCTGTGGAAAAATTGTCTTAGCCATTGATGCCTGTAAAACAAAGGTGAAAATATGATAAAAAATGAAAATCAGAAGTAGTGTCCAGCACAGTTCTTATTAAGGGTGTATTCTAATGTGTGCTAGTACCAAAAAATGGGGGAGAGTAGGGAGAAGCCTGCATGGGTAGAGAGATGGTAACCTTAACAAAAGCTGAGGAAATATTTTTGTCTTGATCCTTTTCACTTGGAAGTCATTTTGAAATGACTTGACTTCCCTCAGAAGAATAGAGTATTACATTTATCCTTCAGTGCTCTGGCCCATTACTCCACATTCCTCATGGAGTCTTTCTAAGCCCACGCTCTGACATTAGTAATCTAGATTTTTCATCCAGATATGACCACTAAAAGTATGTTCATATTAAAGATCAAAGGTTCACAACCCTATGGGCGCTGTTTCCCTGATACTACATAAGAAAAAAAGTGGTAAGAGAGACAAATGATTACTTCAAAATGTTCTCTAGTGATGTATATGAAACCCTTGATTCTTTTGTTTCTTGCTGAATGAAATGGGGCTTGCACCTGTCTTGAAGGCTTCCAGTACTTTGAAGACTGATAATCTTTCATTCGAGGAATTTGATTCAGTTTTCAAATTTTTTGAAACTGAATTCAGTTAAAATATTTAGGCATTTTTATATGAAAGAAAACACTGATATATGGATGAGTCATCAAGAGACAGAAACATGCAAATTGTATTTTTGGTCTTAAAGCTCAAAATTGACTGCTGAAGTCCCAACACAGTGCAAATTACAGAGTTAGGTGTCTGATTTTAG